TGGGATGATTAGTGCTGGGATTCCCTATAATAATCTATCTTAAGGGCATGAGGATAATGATGCTCCAAGTTTCTGGCTTCTACTTTACTACTTGGAGTCCGATGCTGCGACGAACGTTCTACACCGGCTTATCACAAGGGTGGTGAAGATTTTACCATGTCTTCTATAATCACGAACGCTGAGCAACACTGCTACAAATGAATTTCGTAGGCCTCTATAGTGTTCAGAAAAAGTCCAGGATACTGAGTCTCGGGATCCGAATCATCGTGCAAAGCTATGTTAGGGCGCGCAAGGGTGCGAGATCTGGACTTTGCGGCATGTCTTCTGATTTCTCCGGCCGCTCTACTCCTATACCTCGAGGTGTATTCCAAAAAGCCATGTTTGCAACGACTCTTCGAACATAATGTAGGGGCCTTAATCATTAGAATAGGGCTTTGGCAAGTTTTGGGGTATATTATACGATATTTACAATAAGGAACCTCCTCAAAAACAATAGCACTGCTAATTATTCAGGTCCCTATATCAACCTCCACGAGCAGAGCTGCAATAAGAACCATGAGAACTGCTGACAATTGCCTGGGTATGCGTTTTGGTTCGGCTAGAGGGCGAAGTGCCAAAGAAGAGTGCTAAGGTGCTTAGGCTTTAATAAAACTGAAGTCTCCATCGCAGTTTTTTTTGGGCTTACCTTTTGGGATCCTCAATATACAGCTGGTTAGACCCAAAAGAGGAACTACAGCGGAGACTATAGGCAGCAAACATGCAGCCTCTGTATCTCTGTCTCTGTGGCTCTCTCCCTAAAGCCCAAACCCTAAATGCCCGAGTGGGTCAGGCCTTGCTTCGGGAAGCTACGACACCCTGAAACCCTAACACCCTAGATCACAACCCTGAAACACTAAACCCTAAATGACCCTAAACCTAAACCCCCTAAACCCCTAAACCCTTAACCCCAAGACACTAAACCCTAAACCCCAAACCCTAAACCCTACACCTTAAACCCCCAAACCCTAAACCCCCCCAAACCCCTAAACCCCCAAACCCTAAACCCCTAAACCGCAACAGCCTAAACCCTAAAGCCCTAAACCCCCAGACCCCCAAACCCTAAACCCTAAACTCCCAAACCCAAAACCCAAAACCCCTAACCCCTAAAACCCCCAAACCCCAAAACCACCAAAACCCCTAAACCCCAAACCCAAAAGGGGTGGAATGCTTTCTCTCCTCGTAGGCCAGCAGATCAAAGACCAGCTCGTTCATCACCTAGCTGTTTAGGGTTCAGGGTTTCAGGGTTTAGGATTTAGGGTTTAGGGTTTAGGGCAAAGGGTGACTTACCCCTAGGGTCCAAAGGACCTAAACATCATGTACTTGGGTGACGGATATTAGCTTTGTAGGTGAGTATTCAGAAGATTATATGATTATTAGGCACTTGGACCCTTAGGGGGGCTGTCCCCAAAGCGTGCGAAATACCTACAAAGTAGAATGTAGGATTTCTATAAGGGTTTAGGGTTCCATTAAAGGGTTCCTATAAGGGTTTAGGGTTAAAGCCTTATAGTATGGTCTTTGGCCCCCAGAGCCTCAAAATATGAGTCCGTAGAGCCTTAGGGTTACCCACAGGCTCCATTGTAGTTCCTTTTTGGGGTTACCTTCTAGGATTCTAAAGATAAACCCACAAAAAGGAACTACAATGGAGCATATGGGTATAAAGTAGAACGTAGGGTTTCTGTAATGGATTAGGGTTTAGGGTTCCTTTAAGGGTTCCTAAGTAGCTATGTAATAGAATGTAGGGTTCCTTTCAGGGTTTAGGGTTTAGGGCGCCGTCTAAGGGTCCCTAAGACTTATCATAATAGAACGTGGGGTTTCTATATTAGGAATGACGATTATGGTTTAGGAAGTATCCCCCATAACAGTACATAGGACCCCTTGGCCTTTTGGCTCTGTCAAGTGAAGGCTCAAGCTTTGCGATGTCCTCGACATCAAGCCAAAACCGTACACCCTAAGCCCTGAACCCTCATCTCAACGGAGAAACATGTGTAGAACCCTCACAAAACCCTCCCAAAAATTTCCAAGGTACCTCTATGGTAGAATGTAGGGTTTCTCTGTCTCTGTTAGGACTGGTTTATCATGACCTTGGGAAAGTATCCCCGATAACAGTACCTGGGGCTCTTTGGACTTCCTTGTATTTAAGGCTTCTCGGGCTTCGGGTTTAGAGTTTAGGGAGTTTAGGCTTTAGAGTTTAGGGAGCTTAGGCTTTAGGGTTTAGGGAATTTAGGCTTTAGGGTTTAGGGAATTTAGGCTTTAGGGTTTAGGGAATTTAGGCTTTGGGGTTTAGGGAGTTTCGGGGTTTAGGGTTTAGGGGTCCTGCACCTCGAAGAACTCCACGCTGACAGCAGCGTTCTCTTGTCTTGGAAAGAGGCGCTCCTGACGCTTTCTGCAAGCACGACGACCACAAGCAACCTCTTTTAAGAGCATCTTTCGGTGCAGGGTTTAAAGGTTTAGGGTCTAGGGTTGAGGGGTTTAAGGGTTGAAGGGTTTAGGGGTTTTGGGTTTAGGGGTTTAGGGTTCAGGGTTTTTGGGGTATGGAGTCTGAGCTCATGAAGTTTTTAACCTTAGAATCGTGTTTTGTGCACGATTGTAGTTTTCACTGATGCTAGATGCCTCTAGAGAGTCAAAATTTTCAGAAACTGATGTCCATTGTAGACACTGCTGCTCCTTGAAGTCACCAACCCCAAGCAGCCCCAGGGTCCATGAGCAGAAATCTGACTCGGCGAATGTCCTATTGCAAACCCTTTCCCCCCAAAACCTTCCGGCTTAGGGTTTAGGGGTTTAAAATAGGGTTTAGGGTTGAGGACGCCCTTCGTTCAGGTGTGTTGGTCCTGGAGCAAGTTAAAGGATTGCTCCAGGAGACCATCGGCAGCAAAGAGCGTGTGCTGCTTGCCGGTACCTCATGCCACACTGTGTCTGGAAGATCTCAGTGTCAGTTTAGGTCTTCCTGTTGAGAGTTATGAGTTGAGAGGTCATTATGCGAGAGGTTCTGGGGATCAGTTTGGCAAACTTTCGCATCAAGCAGTTTTTGGTGGGAGAGATTGTGCACCTCCCAAATTGCAGCTCGAATTGCCCAAACTCCCCGACAAACTTATTAGGACGTTGATGTTGCTGGTGATCATGATGACGATCATGATACGCAGAGCATTGCCCCAAAATAAAAACATACTGTTGATGATATAAATCCTGCATTACCTTAAGGACCCGAAACTATGAAAATTATTGTATATTCCTTACTGTTGGTAATGCAGGATTTATATCATCAGCTGTAACAAGGAAAGCATTAACAGACACACTTCAAGCTTTCAAGACCTGCAGCACCGGCAACCCAGCAGCGTCTTTGAGCAGCAGATGGGTAGTTCTCTCAATGGATCAAGGTCACGTTTAGGGTCCCGTTCAAGAGGGTACCGCATTATCTTTGGGACCTAACCCAAGCCGCCCGGTAACCCATATATCATAAACCATTGTTGGTTGCCCATGTCGTGGGTAACTGGCTCAAAACCACACAGTTCCGGGAACCAGTTCCTAGAGTCATCCGGTTCCTATGTAATGTGTGGAAAAATCAAGAACACCATCAGAGACAGCATGCATAACCACTATATCCGATGGTTTTGGGCGTCTTACGGGTGATCCTCTCTGTGCTTTCCGAGGGTTTCTCAAGGCCGTGGCCATTTCGCAGTGGACGACAAATGCATCGCGAGTTTCGTACATGTATATAGCTGAAAACATCGTGCTGCAAGAACTCATTAGCTTCCAACACATGCCGCTGCATAGGTCACTGTGCTGGTTCATAGGGTTTTAAAGCCCCATTATGCATGCGCCAAGGGCTCCAGTTACCTCAATCGTGGCTATACCATAATACCCTAGGAGCCCAATTATAACCTATAGCTATATGGTGGGTTGCTGTCCCTGAAACCCTAATTCAACGGTATAGTCCCATAGACTTATATAACTTCCCATATAGGTATATATATATATATATAGCTGGGCTCTTAGGGTTATAGTGGGTACTTATACCATGTATATATATATATATACATATGATTATATTTATGTACCCCAGCACATATATATATATACACACTATTTATAATTAGATAACTGGAGCCCTTGGGTATAAACATATACACATACTATATATAGGTGATTGGGTTGATAGGGATATATATATATATATGTGTGTGTGCAAGGCATGCACTGTGGGTACATGTGTAGTTGTGTGCCATGCTGCGAGCGGCCGGATTGGCCCGCAGCCGAGCACTGCGGAAGCGTACGGCCCCCCTCCCCCAAGCTATATATTTGCATGCATGAAGCTGGCTTCGACATGTACATGTGATGCTGCTTCTCCGGGTGTGCACATTATTGTATGGATGCAGGCTTTGGCTTTTGATCGTGTAGAGCTGTGGATTTGCCACGGCTGCTTTGAGTGTTCCGTGCCGAGCGCAGCATGGATATGGACCCACAGGGTCCGGAAGCTCCGGAGCCAGAGGCGGCAACGAATCCAGAGAATGATGAAGAGTTTCGCTCAAGCAATTGGAGTGATGTGTGCATGCAGTGATTTCTTGTTTGGCACCATGTTTTAAGCTGCAGGCTATGCCTGCTGAAAGATATTATGGATGAGTACGTGAGATCACGTCCTGATGGAGCAAATAAATCCCGTGCAGCGGCAATGAGGCGAAGCGAAGCCGCTGGTTCAGTAGTAGTACCTGGCATGTGTGTGGGTGTGGCAGTTGTGCATGTGTTGGAAGGGCGTGTGCATCGGCATCTGAGACCCACGACATGTTCGAGCCGTATGAGTTCATGACAGATGCAACTGTCGAAGAAGCTTACGAGCTGCTAGCATCAATATTTGCTAGCTTCGGGAGCAAGATGCCGTTGCTGTCCAAATTCCGTGTCCCCCGGTGGCACAAAGTATTTATAATATTGTCCTAGTGACATGAGATCGCAGTGGAAGTATTCCTAAGGATGTGTTCCATTGGCTCCAGCTCGAGCACGAGTTCTTCCCCGACAAGAGCCGAAAGAAATCGGTGAGCGCAGCTTGGTATAAACAGGCTTCGATAGGATCGGTCGATGCTATATGCTACATCTAAGGCCTGGGCTGATTTCAATGCAGGTGCTCTGCGACACAGGGCATGCTATTGTATCCGATTGTGGAGAAAGACTCCGCATCGAAGCAAGTGTCTTGCATTGGTTATTAGTTCATGCATTGCAGTTGAAGACTTCCTGTGCTTGGTTTGTCGTGTCCGGCCCCCTATATTCGACTCAGGTCTGTGAAGATTCAGACGCTGAAGGATATACTCACGGCTTGGCAGCAAGCCCAGGCCGAGGCTTCAAAGGTGTGCATAATCACTATAGCTAGATCTACGAATATTTTTTGTTTGGAAGGCAGCCGAGACTGGAAGCGAGGCTGCTCCAGCCTCTGAGGGCGACGAAGGCCCTGCCAGTGATGACGAGGCTCAAGAGAATGAAGGCGACACGCAGGAAGCATCGCCAGCAGCAGCTGACGAAGAGGCCCCTGGTCAGGACGATGAAGGCGACTTGAAAGGAACAACAGGCCAGGAAGAGGCCCCAGGTTCGGTGAATGATGAAGGCAACAAAGCAGCAACAGACGAGGAAGAGGCCCCAGGTTCAGCGAACGATGAAGGCAACTTGAAAGCAGCAACAGGCCAGGAAGAGGCCCCAGGTTCAAGAGTCGAGGCTGAAGCAGTGGCCTCGAAGCCAGTGTTGAAAAGAGGAAAGAGCTCCGAAAACTTGCAGAAGCAGGTGTATCCTCCGGTCCCAGTTTTTGAGGCAGATGTGCATGTACATATACATAAAAAATATATTAAATATATATATATATGTGTGTGTGTGTATATGTATGTATATATACATATGTATGCATGCATGATTCATTGGTATAGAATAAATGTCTATATGTTCCTATGTATATATAGGTGTCTATCTGTATATATATATATACTTTGTATGCATTTATTCATGCATGTTGGCATTAAAAAATAATAATACATGTATGTATCGAGTACATGCATATACATGATGAAGGTATAGGTCTTCATGACTGGCAGGCCATTGCTCCGAAGTCTAGATCCTCGGGAAGCCAAAGGGCAAATGATGAGGAGGCGCCTCCTCGATCAAGTGAGCAGGACGGGCATGGATGGCAAGTGTGTGAGAGAGTGCGTCTGAGAGAGAGAGAGAGAGAGAGAGAGAGAGAGATAGGGCAGGGGATTATAGATTTTGCAGGATCACGAGCCACTGGTCAAAAGGCCACCAAGCTGGGACTCCACGCGGGTGCAAGACATCTTGGATCAGAAGATGGAAGCCGACGACGCGGCCCTGCCCGAGTTGCAGACAAAGTTGTGGCCAGACAGCATTATGACAGGAGTGCCATTTTGGAAAACCGGTCCTCAGCTCTATATATGCGTATAGAGAGAGAGAGAGAGAGATCAGTTGCACACTTCATGCTGAGGCGGGCAGCTGCCAAAGCCCAGGTGCAGCCGAAGGCGAAGGCCAAAGCAAGCGCCGGCCGAGGTCGCGGCGGGGGGAGGGGTGGCCGTGGCCGTGGGAGGAAGTCGAAGGAAGAAAAGGCCACCCCAGCCCAGGATGATGATGGCGAAGATGATGGCGAAAGTGCCGATGAGAAGAACAAGAGCAAGGATGGCAAAAGCGAGAAGGACAAGAGCAAGGATGGCAAAAGCAAAAAGGGCAAGAGCAAGGATGGCAAAAGCAAAAAGGACAGCGGTGAGGGTGCCACGGGGAGTGGCAATAAAGGCAAGCGAAAGGCGGCCGCCAAGAACGCGGAGCCGGAGCAGGAGGACGGCAAAAGCGAAAAGGAGAGCGGCGAGGATGACAAAAGCAAAAAGGGCAGCGGTGAGGGTGCCAGTGGGAGTGGCAAAGGCAAGCGAAAGGCCACCAAGGACTCGGAGCAGGATGGTGATGGAGGTCCATGCATGCATGTCGAACACTTGATAAGCTTGTTGGCCCATGTCTTTATGGCTGCACCCGTGCAGGTGAGGAGAAGACGAGGCCCAAAAAGATCAAGCTTGCAGAGCAGAAGGCCCTCGTTCGCGATCTGCCGGCCTTGAAGTACTACTTTGCTTCTTGTATGCACTTTAGGGTATAGGGCTTCAGTATAGTACTAAGGTATAATATTATATATATACACCCGATAATGATATAGGCCTGCCATATTGCTGCACCTTGGCATCCCTGTGCTTATGAAGTCTGTCAGGTGATGCCCTATTGGTCCAGATGTGAGGTCGGCATCATGAAGCGCGAGAATGCTATCGAGAAGCGACAGCAGGCCACTAGACAAAAATTGGGCACAGAGAAGAAATAGAGAGAGACAGAATTTTGCTGTTGAGAAGCAAGTCATGAGAATCCAGGTTTTCAGCCTCAATGGCACGAGCTTGGGACTGCTGGATGATGCTGTCACGTGGAGGGAGATCTTGAAACCTTGCTGTGATGCAGTGCCTAGGCTGATTTGTGCATCTATCGGGTATTATGTTATAATAAAGTACCGTTTGCTTTTGATGTCTACATATGCTTTTGTGTGTGTGTGTATGTATGT